ACCCCCACCCCCCCGGGCCAGGGGCTTCCCCGCGTGGCTCTCGAAATAACAGCCCCGTGTCGCCCCTCGTGTCCCTCCGCAGGGTACTATGAACGAGGAGCAGTTTGTGAGCATCGACTTGGACGATGACAATGTTTGCAGTGTCTGCAAGCTCGGCACCGAGAAGGAAACGCTGTCCTTCTGCCACGTCTGTTTTGAGCTGAACATCGAAGGTAACGTTGTGATGGGGAGTCTTCCTCGTGTGCCAGCTGCGGGCACAGGCTGCCTGGCTTGGCGCTGACTGCAGGTCGAGCCGAGCTTCCATCAGGTCTTGGGTTTGAGGATGTCTATGTGTAGAAAGTTTTCTTGTTGCCCAAACTAGTTTGTTTTCCAGCTCATTTCCAGTAAAGGCGGGTGCCCTGGCTGCTCTGGCACCTGCTCCTCTAGATGGGAAGATTCTCCTCCTCTTCCAGGGCTTCTGAAGTGCCCTGGTGTTAATTTCATCCTCTGATACTAGACCTCTAATGTTAAACTCCTTCCGATCTGTTCTGTCTTTATTCAAGGGGTTTGCTCAATAATTAGAGGAGCTCTATCTATAAAACTCGTTTAAATTGCAAATTCTAAAGTATAATAGGGTTTTTGGGCAGGGAGCAAAGCAGTGTTTCACTGGAAATACTCAGAGGATTATTTACTTTTGCTTTCATAAGATGTTAATAAGTGTTAATATGTGTAATATGATAAAACTGGGTTCATTGTCAAAGCTGCTTAAACAGTAAATTGTAAAGTAGGAATTTTGTCCATGTTTTAAAAGGCTAATCTTGTAAACCTATATTGGCCTCCAAAATAGTATTTTGAGAGTTCAAACCCTTGTTTTGCTAAAGAATTTACCTATCTTGTTGCTCCTCTTCATGCATGAATGAGCACTGGATTATCTATTTCCCTTTTTTGAGTCAAATAAGGATTTATTTTTTTTAAATAGAAATATTGTTGCATGACTTTGGGTCAAGAAAGTAATTTGTTCCAGCTCTGTAGAGTGGTCTTTGCCAATTGTAACTGAATGTGACTACCTAGAGCAATCTATATTGTGGGGCAGTTGTATATAAAGGGCTTAACAGTGTTATGTGATTAGTCCCATGCCTTGATGACAGATAGTAGATTTTTGTTGCTAGTAGAGGCAGTGTATTTTAATCTGAACAATCCTTGTTGCTTCAATGGTAATTTGCATGCTTTATGCTTTTTGTTTAGAAGAAACGTGTTTGTGTATTTGCACTTTGTTAAAACTCAAGTGCAACTGCCTAACCTTAGACAACCTGTCAAGCTGCTTGAGGTTTTTTTACTGCTTTAAAATGTTAGGTTTAGACTTCTTAATGTGGAGTGAAGATGTTTCTCTCTCTAGTCTTTAAAAACATATCAACACAATGAGAATTATGTACTGCCATTACATTCCAGCTTTAGTTTTGTTTTGAAAGTGGTGAGAGAGATAGAACACATTAACAAACTGCTGAATGGTTTCTATGTTCTAGTGTTTGAGATAAGCTGTGGACTTGTCATAGTTACTTGTTATGGCCATGATTTTTACAAAATGATTGTGTGTTTTAGGTGGAACAGCTTTTTTTTTTTTTCTCTAAATAGCCTTGATAATAGGAAGGGTTTAATCTGTGCAGCAGACTACTTTGCATAATCTTCTGAATTTTCAGTCAATTTAAAAGGAGGCTGCTTGGACAGAGTAGTGACGAAGGCTCACCTGAAATTACACCAGACCAGTATATTCTTTATGTTTAATTTTACTTAATAAAAGTATCCATATTATAGCATCAAATAGCATCATTTTCTGATAGTCTGTCTGTTGTGTGCCAGTTTGAAAAGATGTACTGTTACTGCTCATAGGGACCTAAGCAGCAACCTTTTAGCTGAACCACTTCATGAGACAAGCCTTTACCATACCTGTGGTCATGTTCTTCCTACTTTTGACATCTTTCTGCATTCCTGTATTTTCTTGTGACAAGGGCTGATTTATTATTTTTTTTTTTATAAATCTAAAGTAACAGTCTTTTGGCAGCCCTGGGTACAGCATGAAATGGACAGTTCACTAATGCAGAATGTTACATTGGATGTTTTCATGCTTATGTTTTAATGAAGTTCAGCTGCATTATAAGTTCAGCTACCTGTTGGACAGAATCAGCTGTAAGTTGCATCAAATCTGTAGCTGTGTTATCCCATACTAAAAATAAGTGTTCTCACTTTTTATTTAATATCATATTTAGAAACCTAAGCCGTTAAAACCTGTACATATATTGCTAAGTAATTCAGGGAGTGAAATAGGTTGTTCTAAAAAGGTATCGATGCAACAACTAGGACAGTGCTGATGGCTTGCTCATTTTTGGTGTTGCTGTGCGTGTGGAACTGCTCCCTCAGAGAAGCAGGAAATAGCTGCTGTTCAAGAGCAGGCAGGCTATTAGTCACAGCTCAGCATCTTGCAGGATGCTTGAGTACTCCCACTGTTTGCAGCACCCTGTTAACTTCCATGTGTTAAGTGCTGTCTGACTTAATGGCAATGTATAGCCTCTCTTCCATTTTGCCTGACCATGCAGTCAGCACTTGGAGGTGGGTCAGGATAGAAAAGGAGCATTTTAGATAGATGTGCAAAGGCAAGCAGTGGGCTTGGCAGTGTTAGGTTTGCAGGTGTACTCAGTTATCATAAAGGATCTTAAAAGATTTCCAGCCTTAAAAGAATTCTGATTTGTGAGTCTGTGTATGAAATTCTGGAGTTAGATTTCCCAATTCCCTTTTCTGAAAGGGCATCATATTCTAATGCTTTAACAGAACTGATGAGGACAGTTCTGTTTCCTCTAATGCAACATCTGATTGCTTAAAGCTGTGTGTATGGCACTCAAAACTGATCTAGCCCAGGGCTTAGGCAGCTGAACCCACTCCAAAATAGACTTTACTAAATGTATATAAACAAAATACGACAAAATTGTAATTCGCTAAGCTGCACTTAATTACAGTGTAGTTTAGTACTTGTGGATCTTTGCATCTTCTGGCACCAGTTCTACAGCCATGCAGGGTTGTTTGTGTCTCAGTGGTGATGTTATTGATCATCTTCATAAGTAAGAGGTTGTTTGTGTCTCAGTGGTGATGTTATGGATCATCTTCATAAGTAAGAGTAGTTAGAAGTGAGTGACTGAGAGACAACCCCCATCTGAAATAATGACTCACAGACTTCTTCCTGGATCAGTGTTGTGACATGGCTCAGCCTTTACCCTCCTGACATTTAGGTGTTTATTTGTAACATTTATTATGTTTGAACAATAGCTTGGTAAGGATGCATAATTGGGGGGGAAAATTCAGTTATTCTGATAGTCCATTATAGAAAATATTGCTTTACAGACAGCTTAATCTGTGGTCTATCTTAAATAATTGCTGTGTTTCTGAATGAGGAAGTCAGTAACTGTCATAAAACCTTTATATTTTTTACCAGACAGCAGGTCTCCATCATGATTTTTTTAATGGGAGATTTTTAGTCTTTTAGTGAAATAAAATGATAGCTTAGTCTAAAATGTGATTATGCTTCTTACCAAGTTCAGTTAATTCACAGAAACCTCTGGTTTGAGTGCAATTTGGAGGTCAGCTGTGGTGTCCGTCCCAGAATTTATTCAGGGTGAGGTATATGGATTATAGGATCTGTTGCTCTGAAGCTGACAAAGAGTGGGTGAGAAGGGAGAAGAAAAGGAAACATGGGCATATAGAATAAATAAAGCCAAGATGCAGGTTTAAACTTTTCCCTATTACATGTCAATAACCTTTCTTGAACAAGGAAAGAGCAGCATTCTCAGGAGAGTTTAGTAGTGCTGATCTTCAATCTGAAAGGGGTGAGGGGAGTGTTGTCCCTTGAAAGGACAGTATTTTTCCCCTGTTGCACTGGCTCATCCAGCTCATTTAATTTGAGGATTCATGCTCAAGGAAGCTGAGTGGACTAAGGTACACATAAATATATCTATTGCCGCACTAGCCTTTGCGTCTGAAGGATCACTGTCAAGTGATTTAGCACAACAGAATACTAATGTGCTTCTTAAAGTTTAAAATATGCATAGTACTTACATGTGAAATAGTAAATGTTTTGAGAAATGAAGCTGATTCTGGATGGTGTTTTAAAAGTTCTGGATAGTGTTTAGAACATCCTGGTGATGTGGATCTGCTGGAGTTTGATGTTGGCTTTTGTATACGAAAGGTGAAGTGAGCATCAGAGATTGTGTATTGTTTGTTTTTCTGAGCAGGTGGCACAGTAGTAATCAGTAGATTGAGACAGGAAACATTTTAAATTCATGTGTAACTAGTTTGCATAAGCCAGGAAATCATGTGTTGTGTGTTAGTTGGGATAAAGTTCTTTTTAATTTCATTAGAGTATGAGAAAGTGATTAGCTGAATGCTGGTAGCAGAGATAAAATGTTAACAACAAAGCTGCAGTTACAGCTGGAGGGTAGGGGGAAATATATGAACACTTGAAAATATATGTATGTGTATCAGCAAGACAAAATCCTCTGCCTGAATATGTTGTCCCTACAAGCTGCTTTGAAACTCCTAAGGTGGAAGTTTATAATAATTAGGGTTTGCCTTTAGATTATTTGTCATAATATATCTGTCTTAACCTGGGTTTATGCTGGTATTTCTAAATGCAGAATTACTTAAAAATCTGAGTTTCCTCACATTTCAGCGTTGTAACAGAGATGAACTGATTGATGATTTTTTTTGTTTGATTTTTTTACTCTTTTGCTTATCTGGTGCTGCTATGATAACGTCTTGGAGAATACTGGCCAACAAGCAAACTGGCTCACTTCCATTTCACTTTAGAGTTTAACAGCTGAATAGCAAATGACAGTTCCTATCCCAGGTCTTGTAAAATAAGAGATAGTCTAAGTACTGGGCATCTATTCCCCTGATTTATGTTGAGACAGTTGCATTTCTGTGGTCCTTTAAAATGCTGATAGACTCATAGCATTTGAAGCAAATGCTGTGCATCAGGTTGGTGCATCCCAGTTTCCAAGCTGAGACAATGATGTTACAAACAAATCTGTTTTATCACGTACCTTTTTTTCTGTTAAGGTCTATAAAATTTTGTGTAATATCCTCATTCTGTATTCTCTGTGTTTATCTTTAAAAAAAAAAGCACGGGTGGATTTAGTTGTTAAAAGCTGTAGGCGCTCAAATTTCACTTTTTTCCTTCTTACACCCT